TTCCCTTATTTGAAAAAAAAAAAATATATATATATATATATATATATATATATATATATATATATATATATATTTGCCTCAGTGATCATTTCTCAACACTCCTTCACCCCAGGAGCCTCGGAAGCCCCCAGCAGGCCAGCTCTCCTCCTGAAGAAATTCTCCATGGCCACCATCTCCCTCCTCCTCCTCCTCCTTTTCTCTGTTGTCCTAGAGGCCAAGGTCGCATCCTCCTCACGTGAGTGCAACACCTTGTCTTCCTTCCAATCCAGTCCCTGTGGGAAAATAAGCAGAGTAAGATGGCTGGAGAGGTGGGGTGTAGGGGGTCTGCCATCTTCTTAAACTGGTGTCTTCCTTACTCACTCCAGGACCCTTCTCCTCAAGGCCAAGATGTAGGCCAGCCTTCCTCTCCACTCCCTCAATTCCTCTCTTTGCCAATAAGCATAAAAGCAGCCTATGCTTTTGGGGGGGGGGGTGTTATCCCAGGGAGGTTAGGAGCAGGGTTTGGAACCCTTCAAGGCCATTTTGTCTATCAGCACCCTCCTCACCCTGAGATTTGCGCCCAACCTATTTCTGGTGTCACCCATGCCCTGTGAGTGTAGTATTACTTGGGTATGGACTAGAAGAGCCACAACAGTGGGGGCTCCTGTCCGGGTCACCCTTTTGCAATTTAATTCTTAGGATGAGCGGCCTTATCGGAAAGCCAAAACCATTCCTTGCCCTTCCGTTACCCCAATATAGCCACAGAAGCCCCCAGAACAGAAAGCTCAGTGTAAAATCCACTGACCCAGTCCAAAGTCCTCACTTACCGTGTGGGAAAATAAAATGGTCACAGTCCAAAGAAAAGGTGAAGATGAGTTAGAATTGGGGTGTCCTGACTCCACCTTGTTTCTGTTTTCAGAAACTGGAGGGGAATGTAGAAGGTTGTTGAAATAAAATTAGTTGAAAATTAATGGAGGCAAATCTGGACAGTTTGATCTCTTTGAAAAGTCATTTGTCAGCTCAGAGAACAAAGGTGGTAGAGTCAGAGCCCTGAGTGGGCGTTAGGGACCAGGGATCCCTTAGTCCATTCCTTGGATAGTGAGGATGCTGCCTGGCATAGGGCTGGGTGCAGGACCAGACCTTTCTCTTTCCACCCAAGCATCTGCCCCGACATCCAGTGACCTCTGATGCCACTGCAGTGCCCACTCATGTTTCTGTCCAGCTTGGGCACATCACATGCACACACCTGATTTTTTGACTCCATAACCACAGTATGAGATTGTTCGCACAGGGCCCTTCCCGCTACCCCTGGAATTCAAGTTTGAGGTGACCTCACTATCACTCCCTTGCATCTCTTATAAGAGCTGTGAAATTTCACAGTCAGAAAATAGCTGAAGAGTCAACTAATCCAGTGATTTTTAGAACTTTTAGACCACGAAACTTTTTCTTCAAGCAAAATCTTCCACGGAAGCCAGTATATAATACAGGAAAAAGGGTTAAATGAGATCCCTAGGACACTGCTCTCAAATTCAGCAGTTCCCCCAATATAGCCAAAGAAAGCTCAGTGTAAAGTCCACCAACACAGTCCAATTACAGTGGGGGAAACAGAGAGGGAAAATAAAATGGTCACCGCCCATAGAAAAGGTGAAGATGGGTTAGAATTGGGGTGTCCTGACTCCATGACCATTGTCCTCAAGAGTTTGGTGTGGACCTTCTTCCTTCTCTGCAGTCCATGGGCTTAATGGGGACAGGACAAGGGACTGGGTGGAGCCGCATCCCAAATGACATGTCTCTTGAGCTCTGTTGGCATTTTTTCCAAGTACTCCTAGTTGGAGCATCTTTTCTGAGTAAGGAGCTCAGGTCCCATGATCTTGGGCCAGTCACTAGCCTTCCCTGTGAGTCAGTTCCTAGTCAGTGAACCCCACCTTCCTAGTGTGCTCAATGAGAAGGTGGGGTTCACTGCTTTCCAAGCCTGGAGTTGGACGTCATCAGCTGACCTTCCCATGTGGGGTGGAGGAAAGGGGCTGAAGAATGCTAAGGAGAGGGAGAAGAGACGAGCTTCTCCAAAGCCCTCCCTCCAAGTTCAGCGGGGCTGTCTCCTCCCTCCTTGCAGGAGTAGCAGCAATGCATCCTTGACGGAGGCTTCACCTCAGCATGCCCTTGCTTTCTCCTCAGGAGGACCTTACAACCCCTCAGAGTGCTGCTTCACCTATGTTTCCCACACACTCCCGCGTCATCGGATTATAGATTATTATGAGACCAGCAGCGAGTGTCCCAAGTCCGGAATTGTGTAGGTGGCAACGACACACCACACTGGGGGAGGGAGAGCCTGGGGAGAGGGGCTGGAGAGGAACAGGATTCCTACAAGGCCTCCCAGGTGTGTCCACACAGGGAGAGGCAGCCAGAGGGCACACCGGGGACTCAATGACTGAAACCTGCTGAGAGAGCCACCTGAATGCTGGCCCCTTGATGGGGGAGGCATCAGGAGAAAGGAGGAGGCACAAGATCACTTCCGGGGGGTGGGGAAGAGGGGGACACAGAGACTACACGTGCTGGAGCCCCAGGGGCTGAAGAGCATGTCTCTGAAGAGAACCCGGCCCCTAGCTGCTGCTAACACAGGAAGGAGAGATGGGATTGGCCCAGCAGGGACTTGGGAGGGAGGGAAGATGGGCTTTCTCCTTGGCCACTGGACCCCTTGGTTTGTAATCCTTCTCCCTATTGTTCCACAGCTTCATCACCAAAAAGGGGCACCCCATCTGTGCCAACCCTAAGGATGAGTGGGTCCAGGACTATATCAAGGACCTGGAGGACAGCTAAGTGATCCAGAAGCGCTGGAGAAGGGCTCAGCTCAGCCGAAAGAAAAGAAGAGGCCAAGGCCCCTCCACCCCAACCTTCCCCCACCACCCCTGGGAGCTGCCCTGCCTTGAATTAAAGACCCCTCATGCCTTTCCCTGCCCTCGTTCATTTCTACTGAATTTGTCCATTGGCAGGAGACTGGTGACACCAGTGAGCTGAGCTGGGTGTGGCACCTCAGCATCAAGTCTCACTGTGCACAAGTTTTGCCAGAGTCCAGAAAACAGGTCCAGACTGTGAGTGGGGTAGTGGGAAGCTGAGCAGAAAGCAAGAGAGAAACACAGGGTGAAGCCACCTCCTCACACACCTCCTGTGTGCCAGGGGTAACACGCACCATGTTGTCAGTGCTTACCACAGTCGAGTCACCCTGCTAAGCAGCCTGTTTGCACCATCTCATTTAAGCTTCACAACAAGTACAGAAGCTAAGACTCACTACCCGATCTTCAAGAAACCCTCTCCTTAATAGTCAGACTCCAGAGAGTGTGTGTGTGTGTGTGTGTGTGCACGCATGTTTTTCTTTGCTGCTAACTGGGATAGAAATGAGTCATTCACATTTATACAGTTCCTCCCTCTTCACTTACATATACCAGTTTATACTGTTTGCTTTACTCCGTTTTGTATCCCCCACAAGGCCAAGCAGAAAGCCTGGCCCATGTCAGGTGCTTATTAAATGAATGGATGAACGGATGCATCATGGATGGATGGAAGGAAGGAAGGAAGGACAAAATGAGACAAGAATCAAGAGATCTGTGCCCCAAGAATAGGCTCCTAAATTTATCTTCAGGGTTAAGGAGGAAATTCATGTACTTGGAGGAAGAGCGTGCCTGGTGTAGGGACCATGACCGCCCTGCCCTGGCCGGCAGCCTTTCACAGACAAGAGTGTGTGGGCCAAAGCAGCAACCAGCAGGGACCAGTGGGCTAAAGGCACACCCAGGCTTCCTCAGACCCCCTCACTTCCAATGAACAGAGGTCAAGGGAGCACCTCACAGACCCTCCTTCCCTCTCCTAGGAAAATGTCACAGTTTTACCACCACTGACTGCCTGGGACCCACCAAGACTCATTGCATTAGATGTGTCTCCTATTTGGAAGCAGTCACAGCAACAGCAGGCGCCCCCAGGAGCTGCACATTGCCTATGGGGCCCTGCCTCCTGCTGCCCTCAACTCCTGACTCTTCCCTTAGGCCTCTGAAGCTTGCAGTCCATTAGCAGTAAAATCCCCTGCATCTTCTTTCTCTTCACAGACTGCTGCCATAACCTGGGACCAGGTCTTGAGGCAATGGAAAGAGAGAAGACGCGGTGGGGCAAATTCAGCCAGAGCCCCGGATTGATGGGGGTGGGGAGCAGGTCCCAGTGAACTCAGGACCATGGAAACTGCCTGTCAGGTTCACGGCGTAGGAATGCCTCTGCTGGTCACAATTGGCCACGGTGGCAGGGTTTGGTGAATCTGTATTTGGAAAACCCAGACTGCTGCTGCACCTAAAAACCACTCCGGAGGGCTGGGGTTGTAGCTCAATGGCAGAGTGCTTGCCTAGCATGTGTGAGGCAGTGGGTTCAAATCTCAGCACTGCATAAAAATAATAAATGAATAAAATAAAGGTCCATCAACAACTAGAAATATAAAAACACTTCAGAGTCTAAGGTCCAAAGAGATAAATAAGAACACAGACAAACCAAGCACATCAACAAAAAATGGGAACTCAGGTATCGGGCTTACTATTTTATCAGAGTATTAGTAGCATAATCTGTGACAAGAAAGAGTCTGAGCTCAATCAGGTGTCCTCAGACTGGGGATGGGGGCCCTGCTCACCCTCCCAAAGACCAGTCACCAGAGGCAAACTGGGACTGCTCTACCCCGCCTCCTTCCTCAACCCAGAGATGGTGGTAGGTGACACTGTGAAAGCAAAGAGATCTGGTTCCCGGTACTGCTGACCCATTCACCTCCAACCCTTGCGACCTCCCGTCTCTAAGCGCCAGCGGCCTTGGAGTAGTGATCACTTCTTCACTATTGAGAGGATTACTTAGAATGGGGCATGCAAAGTGGCGGGCAGCGGCCCCTGGCCACACAGTCCTCCAATCATCCCCTCACGTGAATTCAAATCCTGCCAACTCATCAGCTCCCGCCCATCCTCCACTGCCAAAACAGAGGCAGCTGTTTCTCCTCCTCCACCCGCTCCTGAAGTGGTCAGAGTCCAGAAAGCTGAGCAGTGGGAGCACCGACGACCAGCAGCAAGGTGGACACCTCCACTCAGCAGTCCCCTGGAGCTGTACTGCCCTGCTGAGAGATGAAGGTCTCTGTGGCTGCCCTCCTTCTCCTCATCCTCGCCACCACATCGGCTTCTTACTTCCAGCCAAGTGAGTCCTTTGGTCCCCGTAAGGCAGGGATGAGAAAGGGGAACAGGTGGCAGGCAGAGAGGGGATACCAAGAGTACTGTCAGCTCTCTGACCGCTCCCAGCCTTCGCCCCAGCTATGGGTCTCAATTCCTCCCCTGTGTAAGTAGAGTTGGGCTTGATCTAGAACCTTCTGGGGATGGGCAGGTCTAGGAAACTGAGTTTCGGTTTCCTGAGGAGTCTGCAGGAGTCTCAGGGAAAGAAGAGTAAGGAGTAGAGGAGAATGCAGTGCAGTAAGTAAGTGTGGCAAGTGAAATGAGGGTGAGGAATATAGAAGCCATCACTTGGGTCCAAGCCCAGGAGTGGGGAGTCTGAACTAGACACCCCACTTCCTTGTAGCGGCTGCCATGGATTACTAGGACTACCAGATAAACAAAATGAGTCTCCATGGGATGGCCAAGTATGCTATTTGGAGATCTGTGCCCCCCTTTCTCACTCCTATCCCACCAAAGACCAAAGAGAGGAGCATTGAAAGGTTTGGGATCTCAAGAGAGGGGGAATTGGGACCTATTTGTCCACTCCCTATCCCCTGCCTCTGCCATTATTTATGAGTACTAGTGACAAAAAGAAAAGCACAAAGACACTCAGCCCTTCTATGCAGAAACCTTGGGTGGCCACAGCCCATCTTTTCTCCCAAAGTTTGTGGTCTGGCCTGGCTGGGCCTGCATCAACACACAGAGGAGCAAAGGTCAAGTGCATCATGCAATCTGTCCACATACTCTCAGGGTGACTGACCTTGGTCTTTGTAAACTCTATTTTGAGAACCAGGGACAGGAACATCACTTATAAAAGAACTGTACACAGAGTCACTTATGGAGGAACTGCGTGTGTCTGGTGGGTGGGAAGGGACAACCATGTCCTCTGGCAAGATCAGTCAGGCCAATGCAGTGGGTTCAGATCTCAAAGAAAATAGCCCTCCTGAAACATGGATCAGCCAAAGGGCGCTCTTGAGATATCCCAAAGTTTGTCACTGGTTGGAAACACAGGGTCAGACTACACAGAAGGACTTACTGGCACTCTGCGGGTTTGGGGGATGGGAGTGTCTCTGGCCTGACTTCCTGGGTCATATCTCCAACTGGCAAGTAGTCAGGGGAGCTCAAGAGACCACTAACCTATCAAGTCCAACATCCTGCAAACCTCAGAGAGAAGGAAAACAGCTGTTTCCAAGCAAGAAGAGTGGCCATTATTACCATTTGTTCTCAATGATATTCTAATGAGCACCAACTGAGCTTTCTGTGGCCGGGCTGGGTCAGACATCTTCTCAACTATTCTCATGGTGATCTTTTTAAGTATCTTTTATCCCCATTTAATGTATGAGAAAACTGAAACCTAGAGTGATTAAGAAAACTACACATAGCTGAGATATGATGGTCCCCACCTGTAATCCCAGCAATTCAGGAGGCTGAGAAAAGAGGATCACAAGTTCTAGACCAGCCTCAGCAACTTAGTGAGACCCTGTCTCAAAATAAAATTTTAAAAAGAGCTCAGTAATAGAGCACCCTTGGGTTCAATCCCTAATATTACAAAGAGAGAGAGAGAGAGAGAGAGAAAATTGCTCATGATTCAAATCATTTATTCAAGATTCTGATCCCAGCTGACTCTGAGGCCTGAATTGTACACTTTTTCCTCTTGGTCATGGCTCCTCTTTCACCCTCTTCCCTACCTCAGCAGCTCTAATGCCTCCAGGTTGGAGCCCAGATTTCACCATGATTTGGTCAGTGTGTGTCCCATCCCTCTCCCTCCCTTTCATCTCCTCCTCATCCTTCCTCCTCCCCCTCCTCTCCCTCCAGAGACCCCAAACTGCTCAGCAATGGCTAGATCCACTGAGTGAGCTTCCCCCAACCTCAGGCCTCTTTCTTTCTTCCACATCCTACAAACCCTTTGCCTGTCTAGATCCTACTCATCTTTTGAAAACCAATCCAGGCACCCACCTCCTGCTTTAGGTACTTCCTCAACCACCAAGATTGGGCTCAGTCCCCCTCATTCTGTTTCCACAGCACCTTGTCCCGAAGTCTGTTCTGCCCTGGACCACATTCTATGGTAGTATTTAATGTTTCACTTTCTTTTTACCCTGGCTTGTGGTGGCCTTGTCATTTTACCCCCCAGAAAGACATGAGCTCAATACATATTTGCCAAATTGAATCACAAGTAAACAAGAGTGAGCCAGTTTCATTAGCAAAGATGAGTCTCTGTGCCATTTGTATTTAGATGACACTCAGTTCAGAGGCTGAAGGCTTCCCATGTGTATCCTTGGAGGGTTTCATTTTTTTCTCTTTCCCTATCACCCATCAAGCTGCAAACAGGTGGCTTTGCCATCAGAGGAGTGGCATGCCATCCATGGGAGATGGAGGTAAGCAGCCTTGGTCTCCCTCTTGATCTCACTGGCTCAACTTGCAATGTGATTCCTTCAGGACACCCTGAGGGGTTGAACATTCAAGCCTCCTGCTGCGTGACTTACTATGAGAAAACACTGCCACAGAAACTGGTGAAAGGATACAGAGAGGCCCTCACCTGTCACCTGCCAGCAATCATGTAAGCACTTGCCTGCCAAGACATCTGTGGAAATGGGAGGGAGACCCTGGGGCAGGAATGGGCTGCATAAGACCAAGAGGTCTCCATGCAGTGGAGTAGGGAGTGGCCAAGGGTTTGGGCTTTGAATCTCAGGGACCAGGGTTTAATTCCTGATTTTGCCACTTACGCCTGTGTTTTCAGTCAATGGCAGCCATTGTGAAACCCGAGCCTGAATGTCTAGGTTGAATGGGGAAGGAACTAAGAGACGGGAGGATAGAGACTAGAGAGGTCTAAGGGGACCCAGATAGGGGAGCTGAAGGGAGACTATAGGGGACATGAGCCGTGAGAGTTGGAGGGGGCATGTGGACTGGTCCCCCTTTCTTGCTCCACAGCCCATAACATCTAACTCTGCCTCCACAGCTTTGTCACCAAGAAGAACCGAGAAGTCTGTGCCAACCCCAACGACAGCTGGGTCCAAGACTACATCAAGGATCCCCAAATACCTTTGCTGCCTCCCAAGAACTCGGCCTCAGTTAAAATCATCAGAACAGAAAAAGGCCAGCCCTAGTTTGGCTCCCATGATGATAAGGCCTCCATGCAAGCCCAGGTCTGTGGAGGAAGGAGCCCTATGGTCTGATGTAGCACAGTCATAAAGACACAGGTCAATGATCAAAATAAAAGTATTTTGAATGTTGTCTCAACCTTGGGAGGAAATGTCAAAGTTAAGGGCAGGGAAAGATACATTCTCAATTCAGAAAAAAAAAGAAAAAAAACCTATTTCACCTTCTTCTCATGCTCTGCATCCCATTTCTCATCTTACACTAATATACCAGGTGTTCTAAATATTCCAGTTTCCAACCAACCAAACCATCTCTAGTCTCTGAATCTTGGCCCATTAACCCCATAGAACTCTTGATTTTTCCTGTTTATCTTATCCCTTTCCTGGATCTATTTTTTCTCCCATTCTTTTTTTTTTTTCCCCAAAACATAATTTGGTGGTGGGGATCGGGGAGCCCAGGGTGGAAATATCCATGTTAATCACTTTTTAACCTGTAACAGAGACATTGCTGCATCCCCACCCCCACGTTTGGTCTTCCTCAAAGTGCCATGCAAAGGATACCAGACTCAACAGAAGAGGCGTGCTCCTGTAGCTTCCATACTAAATTATGCAAGGCAGAGAAAGGATATTAGGTTAGGCTGGGGGTAAACTCTCAATCCAGATCTTAAGCTTGCAAATAAATAAAGTGTCCTTAATTGCCAATTTGATTCTTAATTTTCTTTTCCCTGAGAGCATAAAAGTCTTCCCACCCCCTCCCCCGCCCCAGCCTTTTCTACATTGCCTTAATAATTTTGACAAGGTTGGGAACTAGAGAGTTAGGTAGCACTAAGGACAGGAACATAGAGTAGATATCCCCTGCTCTCTACTCCTCTCTCTCCAGCTCAAAAGCAGGGAGCTGAATTCAACAGAATCCAACATTTTCAAAAAAAATGCTGTTGAGTGGACAAAACAAAATCTGGCAATTAAAGTTAGATGACTACTAGAAATTAAAATAGTGAAAACTGGCTCATGAATTGGATTCTGGCGAACTGACTCTTTACTGCCCCCAGTGGCCATGTTGGTAATACATGAGCCTGCCTCTGCCCCATGGCACCTGACTCTTTCTCAAAGAGACTGGAAATTTGAACCTGAGAAACAGACTACTTGCGTCTGCAGCAGAGGTGAAATTCTGGCAGCGTTCCAAAGGAAGAGACCTATGAACTTCTGCCCTGAAGTTCCTGACGCTGCTCTGCTTCCTGCCCTTCTCCAAGATGAGGGGTTTGGCTAGTCTTTCAGTTCCATGAGATACCCCAGCACCCTGACCATTTTTCCTCCTTTAAAAAAAAAAATGTTGAAGGGCCACAGTGGCCCTTAGCACCCCTGGATTAACCTTCACTGGTTTAGATCAGTTCTGGGATGTGTGTTCATGTGTGCATTAAAAAATATATTAATATAAAATGTATCTGGGCTGGGGATGTGGCTCAAGCGGTAGCGGGCTCGCCTGGCATGCGTGCGGCCCGGGTTCGGTTCTCAGCACCACATGCAAACAAAGATGTTGTGTCCGCCGAAAACTAAAAAATAAATGTCAAAAATTAAAAAAAACAAACTTTAAAAAAAAAAAAAAAAAAAATGTATCTGGGCTGGGGATGTGGCTCAAGCGGTAGCGGGCTCGCCTGGCATGCGTGCGGCCCGGGTTCGATCCTCAGCACCACATACAAACAAAGATGTTGTGTCCGCCAAAAACTAAAAAAAATAAATAAATATTAAAATTCTCTCTCTCTCTCTCTCTCTCTCTCTCTCTCTCTCTCTCTCTCCCCCCCCTTTAAAAAAATAAAATAAAATATATCACTTTAATCATTTTAAGCATACAGTATACTCACATTGTTGTTCAGTCATCACCCCTACCACCTCTAGAACCTTCTCATTACCCCAGACTGAAGTTCTGTGCCGATTGCCTATCAACTCACCATTCTCCCCTCCCCCACCATCGTTCTATTTTTCTGTCACTATGAAGTTGACTCCTCTAGGTTGTTCATTTAAATGGAATCATACAGTGTTCGTCCTTTAGTGACTGACTGACTTCCCTGAACGTACTGTTTCTAGGGTCCTCCATGCTGTAATATGTCAGAACCTCATTCTTTTTAAGGCCAAGCAGTATTCCTATGGTTCGTATACCCTACATTTTGTTTGTCTCACCACCCATCAGTGGACCTGTGGTATCCCCCCTTTTCTTTCTGCTCGCCAGAGTTAGCAGATCTTGGTTTCTGTTCCTTGCATCAAAAACAACCTGAATGTGAACAGTGACCCATCAATCACCACTATCTTAAGAAGGAGCTCAAAGGCAGGTGAGGAATCTACCCCACATGCTGGCTACCATTTGTTCTCCACAGGAGGTGAGTGCTACCTATTTTTGTCCTTCCCTGGACTGTGAGCTCCTGCTCAGTGTCCCAGGAATTCTCTCTGCACTCCTTGCTAACAGAGCTCAAGTGCTACAGCTAAATATGATCAATGCCCCCTGGTTCAAGGAATCACTAACCCACAAAATGTAGTCAGGCCTGTAACTTCGCTTGCAGAGGCCCGAGTAGACGTGAGTTGGGGGTGGGGGGAGTGACAGGGCTGTTGAGTGGACAAAGCAAAAATCTGGCAATTAAAGTTAGATGACTACTGCAAACAAACTGGTGAGGCAGGACAAAACAGGAGGCAGGACAAAACAGAGGGCACACCCAAGGCAAGAGGAAGTTTCAAAGTCCTTAGCCAGCACCAGGGTCAAAGTCAGGGAAGTAGGATTCAAAGTCTTAAAGGACAGGAATGGGCTGAAAACAGGAAGCACAGGGCCCTGATTCTATCAGGTTGGAAATTAAATGTCATTTTTTTTAATCCTGTTCATCAGAGGAGTTCAAGGTTGAGCTGTCAGTATAAAAATCTGAGTATTTATATATACAAAAGCAAATCCCCACCCAGCACATAACATATATCTTGCCAAAAACGGCTAGTGGTTCAGAACCAGAAGGGTGATTCATGGGCACATTTAAGTGTTTTTTTAAAGGGCTATTCTAAGCCGGGCACAGATGTGCACGCCTGTAATCCCAGTGGTTTGGGAGGCGGAGACAGGAGGATCGTGAGTTCAAAGCCAGCCTCAGCAACTGTGAGGCACTAAGCAACTCAATGAGACCCTGTCTCTAAATAAAATACAAAATAGGGCTGGGGATGTGGCTCCGTGGTTGAGTGCCCCTGAGTTCAATCCTTGATACCAAAAAAGCGGGGGAGGGTATTCCTATTCTTTTCAAGGAAGGAAGATGGGTACCTGACTTTAACACACACACACCCCTCCTCATTCCGACACACAGGGATTTCCAGCTCTTGCCATCCTAAAGTGAAGACCTCACCCATATACACCTACTTCAACCAGCTTATGGAAGGAGCTGTCAGTCCTGTGGAACAGAGGTGGCCAGTTGGGAGGGAGTAGAAAGTAAGAACTTTATTAGTGGATTTTTTTCAGTCTAGTATGAGAGAAAGGGGTAATTCCAGGTGAATGAGGCCCAAACAGAAATGGGGGAATGAGCTGGGACAGAAAGAGAAGAAAGTGAAAAAGCAACTCTGGGTAACACAAGAGCATGTTCCTCTCCACACCATGAGGATTTGGATCAGATGACCAGATGTCCTGAGGCTAACTTTAGAAATGCTATTCGCCCTCTGACGTGGGCCAAGTGAGCACACACTTTCCCCCAGGAGAGCACATGTGTGCATGTTCATGTGCAAGCAGCCATTGAGAGTTACCAGCAGCCTGAGTTGGCACTTGGGGGACATAGCTGATGTGATGGTTAAAAGTCTTTGGAACCAAACTTGGATAGAAAAATCCAGGTTCGAATCTCAATTCTGCCACTTAACTTGGGTCACCACTGACTCCCTCTAGGCCTCCATCTCCTCACTCTGTGGAACAGATGGATGGTAGTAGCTACCTATTGATGTGGAGAAGATTGGCAGGTGATGTGAGGAGTACTTAGCACACAGTAAGTGCTTCACAGAGGGGCCCTTTTTCCCCTGTATCTGATGTTCCCTTAGGACCATAGGGTATGGGTCAGGGAAGAGATATGAAGTATAGTAGATGGGGTAGAGAGAGATTCTCCTCATTGTGAAGATAAAGGAACTAGACGCTAGAGAAGGACACGAAAGTGCCCAATGTCACACTATGAGTCTCTGGCATATCTGGCACTAGAACTTGGGGGCCATATTTTTAAAAAATAAAACAAAACAAAACTCAAATCCACATAAGCCTGAGACTCCTAGAGCGTGGGAAAGACTGGGGTCACCTGACTGAGGAAGCAGTAGCTCCAGGCCTGAGGCTTCTCTCCCATGACCTGGACTACCTGGAGAGCTTGGCTTCCGGGCAAATGTCCTTTAACTCCTGACAAGAAGGCTTTAAAGAAGCAATGGGCAAAAATGCAGAAAGTTTCTTTGAGTCTCTCCAGAGCCCAGTATGTATTAGCAGGGCTCTTATCTCTCTGAGCCAAGTTTTCTCTTCTGCAAAATAGAACTGATATCTTAAAGGGTTGCTGCAATCATCCCCAGCCCCCAGCACAGGGTCTTGAACAAGTATTACAAGAAAAGATAAAACACTCTTGTTCTCTAAAACGCTAAAACAAGGGCTGGGGATATAGCTCAGAGGTAGAGAGCTTGTCTAGCAATGTGCAAGGCCCTGGGTTCAGTCCCTACTACTGAAATAAAATTAAAGAATCTTACCCATGGATGAAAGAACTTTGGTCAAGAAAATGCACTGGTAACCAACCCCCTTTGAAGTAGGAAATGCCCCCAGAACATGGTTACAGACTGAGGCGGATACTTCAGAGGAAGAGAAGTTGCTCTGAGTGAGCCAAAAAGAGGGAGTTTTGCCCCTGAGAGCCTCAGGGGAAAGAAAGCAAGGAATAGAGGAAGAGGCTGGAGACTGCAATGAACAGCAGGGGCACCCTCCTCCCCAGAGCTCTCAAAAGTTCCATCAATCATTTGGAGTGGTTTTGGGGAAATTGAAGAGGGAGATAAATCCAAATCCAGTCTAACGTACATGTGACACATGACCAGTATCCCCAGAACAAGCGATTAGAGATTGAGAACTGTGAAGTAAGTCCTTGGGGATGCACAGAATCATAAGAAAACTTTGGATTCTAG